CTCCGCCGCCTCCTCCTCCTCCGCCTCCTCCGCCTTCTCCTCACCTCCTCCTCATGCTCCCTCTTCCCTCCTCCTCCTCCCCCTCCTCCTCCTCCTCCTCCTCCTCCTCCCTCCTCCCCCTCCTCCTCCTCCCCCGTCCCTCTGCTCATTTCCTCCCTCTCCTCCTCCTCCTCCTCCTCCTCCTCCTCCTCCTCCTCCTCCTCCTCCTCCTCCTCCTCCTCCTCGAAGCCTCCCAGATGGGGTCCGAGCAGATGGGGTCGGAGGATCGCGCCGATGCCTCGGCGACGCGTCGGCGACGCATCGGCGATGCCTCGGCGTCGTCGGTGCGGAGAGCGTCGGGCTCCACGTCGAGCGGCAAGTCGTCGACGCGTCGGCGGCGCGGCACGGTCCTCCGACCCCATCTGCTCGGACACCGTCTGGGAGGCCTCGAGGAGGAGGAGGAGGAGGAGGAGGAGGAGGAGGAGGAGGAGGAGGAGAGGAGGAGGAGGAGGAGGACGAGGACGAGGAGGAGGAGGACGAGGGGGAGGAAGAGGAGGAGGAGAAGATGAGGAGGAGGAGGAGGAAGAGGAGGAGGAGGGAGCTGGAGGAGGAGGAAGAGGAGGAGTAGGAGGGAGCTGGAGGAAGAGGAGATGGAGGAGGAGGAGGAGGAGGAGGAGGAGGAGGAGGAGGAGGAGGAGGAGGAGGAGGAGGAGGAGGAGGAGGGGGGGATCCATGCCCTCGCGGGCTGGACACCGAGGCGCGATCCTGGGCCGCGGCCTAAGGGCCCAGAGCGCGGAGCGAGCCGTGGATGCGGGTACAGATTCCCGCCCGCTGCCTGGAGTCCCGAAACGGTGCGGTCACAGGCCGTGCGGTGACCTCGAAATTCCGAAATCCCCCAAGACCTCACCGCACGGTCCGTCAACGCACGGTTTGGGGACCTCGGGTGCCCGAATCGCCCGAGACATCCTCGGAGAACGATCCGAGTCGCAAAGCCGCGCGGTGACCCCGAATCCCTACCGACTCACCACACGGTGTGGTCACCACCCCGTTTGGGGGCCCCCGGGCCCCCGACACTGTCATCAAGAACTGCGACTATCCCGGATGAGGCTTCGCTTGGTGAGCGTTATCTTGCTCGGCGTTTCGACACTGGGCGGAAGTAGGGGGCCAAATGCGAAACCCACCCAAACCCTCCACGATTTCTGAGGGGGGGTAGGGTTCACTTGACTCGGGAACTCCCGAGCGAAGTGAACCCCACCCTCCCCCTCAGAAATCGTGGGGGGTAGGGGTCGGGTTCGCATGTGCCCCCATGGGAAGGGGAAGGGGGGGGGCTGGTCCCTGGACCTCTGTTTGATGCGACTGTCTGAAGCAGTGCGTCCTATGGGGGAGAGACCCCACCTGCTCGAAACAGGCGCCACAAACAGTCAAAATCCACTCCATGGGGGGGGCGGGCGAGGGCCCGCGCGGATCGACAAAACAATGAATAACAAAACCATCACCTGGGAGACCGCCATGTGCTCAGTGCAGAAGGCCAGCGGTTGTAAACCAGGCGGCGCAATCACTTCCTTGGCGCCCAGGCCCACGCTGTCCGAGCTAATGAACAGTGCGCGCCCGCATCAACATCAACAAACATACCAACACGGCCCTGACACCTCATAGATGCCAAAGTGCCGTGTCGCAGATCATACAACAGCGCATTGTAAGTTGTGCAAAATGGCATAGCACTCGCAGGGCCGAATAGAAGCGATAAGCCCGAATTGTATGTCATACATTATAATTTCGAATGTCACGGCACACCGCACTGCAAGGCTATCCCACAACATGTGTTGCTGCATCGTGTATGCAGCTGTTGCTGCATCGCGTATGCAACTGTTGCGCTTATATTGATGTTGCATTGCGTTGCGCTGCATCGTTTGTGTCAAAGCACATGTCAGGTACAGTGTAATTGCGGCACTGCTGGAAAAAAGGGTTTGCATTGATGTGCATTGATGGTAGCATCGCCTTGCAAGTGTGTTCGTAGATGCTCCTGTTTCAAGTATGTTGTATTCGGTTGCGAACAGGAGCGTCGCGTTGTATTGCACGCTTTTGCGCTGCGTTGCTTTGGAATTGCGTGTGCGTAATCTGTGTGCGTTTGTTTCACATCGAGGTTGCAAAAAGTCTGCGCTGCAACGCACTACGCTGCATGCCATGTGATAGCACGCGTTTTTGTTGCATTGCATGTGCACTAGTTGCGCATTGTGGTTGTACCGCTTGCGCAGAGCAGCGTATGATAGGTGGAATGTAAAACTCAAGTGGCAGTTGCAGGCGCAGCGGCATTCGGATTATTGTTCATGGCGCGCGCTCGCAATGCATCGCGTTGCCTTGCACCTCTTACGCAATGCATTGCAGAATGCATTTGCGTTGCCCTTTATGTTGCATCGGTGTTCGTTGCATTGCGCTTTGTCGCGTGTTGCATGTTCAACTCTCTGCTTGTTCGCCACGGCCGCCCACCGCGCTCTGGCCCTGCGCGCCTGGCTGCTGCTGCCCGCCGACTGCTCATCGTCGAATTCTTCGGCGTCTGAGCGTCCCTCCTTCCTCTCGGCCTCCCTCCCCCCCCCTCCTTGCACGCCGGCCGATTCGCTAGTTAGCGCCCCTACCTAGCTCTTCGCTGGAGCGGATTTCGCCGCCTCGCCGCTGATGAAAAAGTTCAACTCTCTGCTACTTCGAGCGAGCCCGACTCGGTGCCGCACCAAGCTCACCTCCCCGAGTTCTCGCTTTAGCAGCGCGACAGCGAGAGAAGGCGCGCCGAGGTCGCGCGAGCGGGGGTGGCTCGGCAGGCAGACGCTGGCCGACGCGTGCAAGGAGCAGCTCGGAGTCGGGAGCCCCGAGCCGAGGACGAGGTCGCCTGCTCCCCGAGCCGGGCAAAGATGCTCAGGGGCCACATATTCTAGGTAAGCCAAACCTGTGAAAACCAAAAGGTACCGATACCGCTACTCCCCTGACCTCTCCTGGGGTGCGTTCTGACCAGAATCTCGGGGCGAATCGAGCGGTGGCGACGAGGGCCTCCCAGGAGGGCGAGAAAAGGGAAAAATGCGAAGGGTAGCGGCATGGGTACCTCTTCCTCCTCCGACACCCACCCAGGGCACACCGAGCTGCCTCCAAATCAAAAGCGCTACTCGTTCCGACGCCCTGGCTACACTCGCCGCGCGCGACCTCTGGCCGCCACCTGCCGCGCAGGAAAAGCCCAGGCGGGCGCATGTGTGCCCTCGACTCTGGCGGCTCCTGCGGTGAACTCTCTCCCCCATCATCCCAATCCTGGTTCTGCTCCTGCTCCCGCCCCTGCTTTTGTTCCTTATCCCCCTGGTCCCTCCTCCTCCTCCTCCTCCTCCTCCTCCTCCTCCTCCTCCTCCTCCTCCTCCTCTTCCTCCTCCTCCTCCTTTTGGGAGGGTCAGCGGCGGCGGGAACGATCAGCCCAGTCGCGGAAGCGCGCCTTGTGCCCACATCGACGCGGGGCGAGGAAGGGGGCCCGCCGCGGAGGCGGAAGAGGTGACCTGCGGCGAGCTCGCGATCTCCCAAAGTCACACGATTGCGCGTGTCCGCCCCGCTCCCCGGCCCCTGCCCCTCGGAAGACGGAGCGATCCAGGGGTGGTCCGGCGGCGTCGGCGCGGGCCCTCAGGGGATAGTTCTGCTTCGCGTTGGTCTCCGCCTTTCGCAGGGCTGCCAGGTCCTTCGGGGCGGGGGAGAGGGTCTCATCTCTCGGGTTTTCCATCACATCACACCATATCTTCATTCTCCTCTGCCTTCTCCTCCTCTTCCTTCTCCTCCTCCTCCTCCTCCTCCTCCTCCTCCTCCTCCTCCTACTCCTCCTCTTATTATTAGTAATGTTATTATGATGCTCATTCTTAGCATTACTATTATAATTATTATTATTAGTATTATTATTATGATTATTATTATTTGAATTAGTATTAGTATTATTATTATTAGTATTATTACTACTATTGTTATCATTATTATTAGTAGTATAAGTATTATTATTAGTATTATTATTAGTATTATTATCATTAATATTATTATTATTACGAGTAGCTGTATGATTAAACTCATTGTGTTTATTCGTAGCATAGCATAATTAATCATATGATTCTCAGTATGCGTATGAGTATTCATAGGTTCTCAGTGTGTACCTTAGTATTAATGTTCATAGCGCTTTCTTAATATAATGAACCATATTAGTATGATTGGTTACTCGTCTTACTCTTTTGAATCAGAATTATGACATGCCTCATTAGTCTTCGTAGTAGCTGTAGTAATAATATCAGGATCCGTGTTCGTGGTATTAGTATTACTTTTCGTCTGAGTCTCGTTAGCACAATTCGTAGTAGGATGATTAGGTTTTTTCGCACTAACAGTAGTATTCGTACTGGTCGTCTTCTGAGTCGTACTAGTATGGGTAATAGTGTGAGTGTTATTCGCACTAGTCTTAGTCGTACTCCTCTTAATATTGTTAATCCTAGTAATAGACTTCGTCGCCTTAAAAGTAGGAGTATTAGACTTCGTATGGGTAAAAATTGTAAGTTTATTATACGTGCTAGCTCTATGAATAGTATTACTCGCCTTCTCACTAGTAGTATTCGTCTTAATATGGGTCACCTCAGTACTAATATTCCTCCCAATCCCTCAATTTCCTCCTCCTCCTCCTCCTCCGCCTCCTCCTCCTACGTGTGATAGTAGTAGCATTTGCGCTGCAATGGTTAATCGTCGTATTACTATTCTTCTCCTCGTGATACTATACTTCCCAATAGTGTTGGCATTATTACTCATACTATTGTTAGCATTGGGACTAGTAGCTTCCTCCACTCTCTCCCTCTCTCTCTCTCTCTCTCTCACTCTTTCTCTATCTCTCTCGGACAGCACGGTGGCCCGAGAGACCACAGCACCTTTCTCGCTGGGCCGAACGGTGCCCCGCATAATATGACACGAGAGCCGACTTACCGCCATGGCACCCAACAGCATAGACCGCTCCGCGGGCCACACAGCCAGCGGGCGAACCCTGGACCCGACCCTCGGAGTCGCAAGCCTCCGCCTTAAGACTGGCATGGTCACGCGCAGGCCAAACGCAGATGTCATGCCACCTAGCCAAAGGCTCGACAGGACACGGCCGACCCCCACCCTCCCGCCCAGCCCCCCCCCCGCCACGAGGAGAGGAGGAGGGGGAGGAGCAGTAGGCCCCTCAGGGAGAGGGGGGCAACTCAGGATCCAACTCGAGCTGGATGCGCTTCAACCAATCGGTACTGGCATCATCAGACACCTTGCTACATCCTATTCGAGCCTCCTGCTCGGCAGAATATCTACATATCGCGCAGCTCACTCCCTCCAGCGCTCGCCAGGGTGAACGAGCGCCAGCCCACTCTGCACCGCCGCAGCCGCAGCTCTGACGCGAGCGTAGCTGGCGTTTCTCTGCCCTGGCAAGGCAGCCTCCTCGGGGAGGGGCCTTCCCGACCCACTGGAGGACCTGCTGAGCCCCAGCACCAGCGCCTCCTGGCGGCCCCGTCCCACCCGCCAGCCCGCCATCGTGAGTGGGCGGCTGCCCGCTCTGCGCCGTCGTGGCCGAAGCCCTAGCGCGAGCGTGGCAGGCGTCGTTCTGCTATAGCAAGGCAGCCTTCGATGGGGGAGCCTGGACGACCCACTGGCAGCCGCCTCGGAACAGGCCGCCCCTGCCGATGCCACTGCCAGCCCGCGGGAGAGGCCACCGACCCCGTCGGAACGAACGGGCCCCACGCTGCCCGACACGCAGGAGACAGCAGCGACTCCATGCCGACCCGCCAAGGTGAGTGAGCGCCTGCCCGCTCTGCACGGTCGTCGCCGGAGCTTTAACGCAAGCTTGGCAGGCGCTGCTCTGCCCTGGCGAGGCAGCCTTCTCGGGGAGGGGCCCCGAGGGCGCACCTGAAGACGTTCGAGGCAAAGTCACGGAAGTCCCCCTCGCCACCGAAGGACACCGAGCAACCGAAGTAGATGTGGTCGCAGTGCTAACCACCAGACCATGAGCACCGCCTGGCTTGCTCTGCAGCTCTCTGCATTGCCCCAAGCCCGACTGGGCCCAAGAGCGCTGCCAGACCCGCTGCCAGACCCGCCAGACCCTACACACCACCTGATTCTCTCTACACATCCGACCGCCATTAACTGGGCTTCCTGCGAAGCTGACCGGGTCCTCTTCCTGCCCTCAATCATCTCGCGGAGGCTAGCCACAAGGTCCTACAACGTCGCCCAGTGGTGGTCGGAGAGAGCGTTCCAGACATCAGCCGTGAGCGTGCCCAGGTAATTACCTGATGAACACGCGATGACAAGTGGCATCCCATTCCCAGGCCAGGTGACAGGCGTCGGCGATCGCACTGCCAAGCGATCCCCCAGGGGGGGAAAAATGGTGACGAATGAAGGCAGCTCGCAAGTCCTAACCTCTTCAGCAAAGAACGCAGTGAGGGAGTCTTCGCACCTGAAGCACTTCTTGTTCTCAGCGAACTTGAGAAACAGTTTGCCCGACTTGAATGTCTGGACCGTCAGCGCCATCGTTGCAGAGCAGAAGAATGGGCTCGCCAAGCCAAAGTCGCCCGAGGACCCCTGCTGGGGCTGCTGATCCCCCCCACGCCGTGGGACCCCCGAAGCAGCTGTGTTTCTGACGCAGACCAACGGTATCCGCGCCCTGCAACAGGCGAAGAACATCTTGAGCCAAAATGGCTACGGGAAAGGAAGGAAGGAGTGGGGGAACGAGGAGGAGGAGGAGGAGGAGGAGGGAGGAGGAGGAAGAGGAGGAAGAGGAGGAGGAAGATGATGACGACAATAAAAAATGGAGAGCAGCGAGGAGGTTGAAGAGGAGAAGGAGGAAGAGGAGAAGGAGGAGGAGGAGCAGGAGGAGGAGAAGAAGGCACCACTGCGCTGACGCGCACGCCCCCATCCCCCCTGCGCGCGGAGCGTCGGCGCAGCTCCTCCTCGGCCTTCTCCTTGAGGTCCTCGAGCCTCGGCCCAGGAGGAGGAGGTCCACTATATATTCGCAAGACCCTGAGATCCTGGTGCTGCAGCTTTGTTACACCGGGCGTTTTCGTCCGGTGCCAGGCCGTGGGAGCACCACAGATCGGTCTGGGGTCTGGGGCTCTGGTCTGATGATTCACGATGTTGCAGTTGTTCGCGACGTCAGATCTCAGCAAAACGGGCAGGAGTGACTTTTGGCACGCGGCTTCCCAATCGTGGCGCGCACTGCGCCCCTAGCCGCCTGCGTGCTCGGGGGTGAACCTCCGCCCCCCCCCCCCAAAAGTCGCACACCAGAGGTCACTCTGGCGAAGAGCCACTCTCACGTGTAGCCGACAGCAGGTGGAACGAGTCCCCTGGGCCGCAGTGGAGCGAGCTCCTGCGCCCTTGTGGAATGGCCCGCGGGGCTCTTGCGGAACGAGCCCCGAGGGCCTTTTTTGAAAGGGCGCTCGAGGCCTTGCAGAAGAGTCTCTGGATCCGTTGTGGTAAAATTCCCAGTGACTCTCTGGAACGAGCCCCCGGGGCCATGGTGGAACGAGCTCCAGGGCCCCTGTAGAACAAGGCACCTAGGACACATGTGGTACAAGCTTTTGGCCCTGCGGAGCGACCTCTGAGACCTCTTCGAAACAAGACACACGGCCTTGTGCAGCTTGTGCAAACGGCCCGCACGCTTTTCCAGCTCCTCCTCATCCTCTATCTCCTCCACCTCCTCCTCCTCCTCCTCCTCCTCCTCCTCATCATCATCATCATCATCAGCATCATCATCACCATCATCATCCGCAGCAGCATCATCATCAGCATCATCATCCGCATCATCATCAGCATCATCAGCATCAGCATCATCAGCATCATCATCAGCATCATCATTATTATCGTTACCAGCAGCAGAATCGGCATCATCAATAGCAGCATTACCACCATCATCAGCAGAAGCATCACCATAATCGTCATCATCATCCTCATCAGCATCATCAGCATCAGTATCATTAGCATCATCATCATCATCATCATCATCATCAGCATCATCGTCAACATCAGCATCATCATTAGCAGCATCATCATCACCATCAGCATCCTTATCCTTGTCCTCTTCCTCATCCTCATCCTCATAATTACTCCCGCTCGTCTTCCTTGTCTTCCCCAGGCGTTCGTCATTAATTGTTATTGGGCGGTCAGTCCAATCGACTGGGAGTTGTGCTCTCGAGTTGCCCCTAATCGTCCACATCTGGAGAGGATGGACAAGAGGAGAACGAGGAGAAGGAGGAGGAGGAGGAGGAGGAGGAGGAGGAGGGAAGGAGGGGAAGAGGGCGAGGGCTGCACGCACTCCTGGGGCCTCCAGCCACGAGGAGCACACACACAGAGCTTTTGAGAAGCCCGCCTGAACCTCGGGCTGGGACCGCGCAGTCTGCCTCTTACGAGGGGGAACGACAGGGGGGCTGTCGCAGGCAGGTGCCCATCGGTCGGAAGAAGTAGGTAGAAACATGAAGTAGGAAGGCGTTGGAAATAGATTGGGTTTCCGCCCGCCTCCTGAAGAGGAGGGAAGAGGGAAACCCACTCGACTCTTGAAGTAGGAAGGCGCTCAAAGTAGATTGGAATCTGGGAATCCAAAAATACCTACTTTCAACGACCGATGGGTAGACATCGACCAGGAATCGGTGATACACCGCTGACAGGCCCCCGATAGCGCCAATCGCACCCCCTCGTGGGCGGGGGGGGGGGGGGCTATCGGGCCACCAGCGGCGATCAGTGGGCGAATGGACCCCCGAGCCCCATCCCCCCCATGACGTTGCCCCAGCACCCGCGGAAAGCCCTCGACGAGGCGCAGCTGCTGGAGAGCATCCCGAGGCGAGCAACTGTCCAAGAGCCAGCGAAAACGTCCACCTCCCAGGTGGGACAGGGGGGCGTCTCCATATACTTCAATCCAAGTCCCCACCAACTCTGCGCAGCACGTGCAGCGCAATGGGCGGCAGATCGTCTCCCCATCCCACCATCATAGGGGGGTGCGAAGTCCCTGGATATGGGACGGCATGGGGCACGGGCTGGCATGAGAAGCCTGCACACCATCAGAAAGAGGCATGACTGCTCCTACGCCACTGCACGAGACTGATCCATTGACGGATCCAACATATATCTATATATCTATATATATATATAGATATATATATATATATATATAAATATCCTTTTCATTGGCATCAGACCCGTGCGAAGTAGAACGCCTTCCACCCTGAACCCATCCACTCCCCCTGTCGTTGACCCTGGCACGCCTGGAAGCCAGGGTAAATGGAGAAAATTGTTACTTCTCCCCCCGTAACATCCGTGACGGGGGGGGGTCGGTCTCCGCTGGGTGGTAACAGTGCGGTGCCAGGCGCGGGCGTAGCAGTAATCGCAATAGCGCCTGCATGAATGGCAAATATCAATAGAAATGATGATGATAATGGTCGTAAAGACCATCTTAGTCGTGATAAAGAGAAACGATTTCGGTACGGTTTCGGTTCCCCATGATTTTAAGATTTCTGACAACGGGGGATGGTGGCTGAGGGAGAGTGACTCCTTCCTTCCTCCTCCTCCTCCTCCTCCTCCTCCTCCTCCTCATCATCATCATCATCATCATCATCATCATCGTCATCATCATCATCATCATCATCATCATCATCATCATCATCATCATCATCATCAGCATCACCATCAGCATCATCATCATCAGCAGCAGCATCAGCATTATCATCATCATCATCAGCAGCATCATCGTCATCGTCATCGTTATCGTTATTGTTGTCATCATTATCATCGTTATTATCATGATTAGCATTATCCTCATCATCATTATCATTATGATCATTATTAGCACCATCATCATCAGCATCATCATCAGCAGCATCATCATCAGCAGCACCATCATCATCAGCAGCAGCATCATCATCAGCATCATCATCCGCATCAGCATCAGCATCATCAGCATCATCATCAGCATCATCATTATTATCATTACCAGCAGCAGAATCGGCATCATCAATAGCAGCATTACCACCATCATCAGCAGAAGCATCACCATAATCGTCATCATCATCCTCATCAGCATCATCAGCATCAGTATCATCAGCATCATCATCATCAGCATCATCGTCAACATCAGCATCATCATTAGCAGCATCATCATCACCATCAGCATCCTTATCCTTGTCCTCGTCCTCATCCTCATCCTCATAATTACTCCCGCTCGTCTTCCTTGTCTTCCCCAGGCGTTCGTCATTAATTGTTATTGGGCGGTCAGTCCAATCGACTGGGAGTCGTGCTCTCGAGTTGCCCCTCATCGTCCACATCTGGAGAGGATGGACAAGAGGAGAAGGAGGAGAAGGAGAACGAGGAGGAGGAGGAGGAGGAGGAGGAGGGAAGGAGGGGAAGAGGGCGAGGGCTGCACGCACTCCCGGGGCCTCCAGCCACGAGGAGCACACACACACAGAGCTTTTGCGAAGCCCGCCTGAACCTCGGGCTGGGACTGCGCAGTCTGCCCCTTACGAGGGGGAACGACAGGGGGGCTGTCGCAGGCAGGCAAACATCGACCAGGAATCGGTGACACACCGCTGACAGGCCCCCGATAGCGCAACCGCACCCCCTCGTGGGCGGGGGGGGGCTATCGGGCCACCGGCGGCGATCAGTGGGCGAATGGACCCCCGAGCCCCATCCCCCCCTAATGACGTTGCCCCGGCACCCGCGGAAAGCCCTCGACGAGGCGCAGCTGCTGGAGAGCATCCCGAGGCGAGCAACTGTCCAAGAGCCAGCGAAAACGTCCACCTCCCAGGAGGGACAGGGGGGCATCTCCATATACTTCAGTCCAAGTCCCCACCAACTCTGCGCAGCACGTGCAGCGCAGTGGGCGGCAGATCGTCTCCCCATCCCACCATCATAAGGGGGTGCGAAGTCCCTGGACATGGGACGGCATGGGGCACGGGCTGGCATGAGAAGCCTGCACACCATCAGAAAGAGGCATGACTGCTCCTACGCCACTGCACGAGACTGATCCATTGACGTATCCAACATATATATATATATATATATATATATATCTATCTATATCTATAAATATCCTTTTCATTGGCATCAGACCCGTGCGAAGTAGAACGCCTTCCACCCTGAACCCATCCACTCCCCCTGTCGTTGACCCTGGCACGCCTGGAAGCCAGGGTAAATGGAGAAAATTGTTACTCCTCCCCCCGTAACATCCGTGACGGGGGGGGTCGGTCTCCGCTGGGTGGTAACAGTGCGGTGCCGGGCGCGGGCGTAGCAGTAATCGCAATAGCGCCTGTATGAATGGCAAATAGCAGTAGAAATGATGATAATAATGGTCGTAAAGACCATCTTAGTCGTGATAAAGAGAAACGATTTCGGTACGGTTTCGGTTCCCCGTGATTTTAAGATTTCTGACAACGGGGGATGGTGGCTGAGGGAGAGTGACTCCTTCCTTCCACCTCCTCCTCCTCCTCCTCCTCCTCCAACTCCTCCTCCTCCTCCTCCTCCTCCTCATCATCATCATCATCATCATCATCATCATCATCATCATCATCATCATCATCATCATCAGCATCACCATCAGCATCATCATCATCACCGTCATCATCATCATCATCATCAGCAGCATCAGCATCATCATCACCATCATCAGCAGCATCATCGTCATCGTCATCGTTATAGTTATTGTTGTCATCATTATCATCGTTATTATCATGATTAGCATTATCCTCATCATCATTATCATTATGATCATTATTAGCACCATCATCATCAGCATCATCAGCAGCATCATCATCATCAGCAGCAGCATCATTATCAGCAGCAGCATCATCATACACCCCATCCTCCTCCTCCTCCTCCTCGTCCCCTCCTTCCCTCCCTCCCTCCCTCCTCCCTCCTCCCGCCTCCCGCCTCCCTCCTCCTTCCTCCCTCCTCCCTCCTCTCTCCTCCCTCCTCCCTCCTCCCTCCTCCATCCTCCTTCCTCCCTTCTCCTCAACTTCGTATTACTTGTCTTACTATTATTGTTATTATTCTTACTCGTCTCATTAGCATTATTGATCGTAGTATTAATCTTCTTCGTACGATTAATACCATTACTATGATTTCGCGTTATTAACAATAATAAGTATTATGGGATACCTTCTTCTTAGTACGATGTTTAGTAGCCCTTTAGCATTATGACGCTTAGCATAAGTAGTTTTAGTATTGGCATTAGTAGTATGCTTGTTTGATAGTGTACTAGTTTGTTATTATATTAGCTTTAGTAGTACTAGTACTAGTGATAGTATTATTCGTTGTATTAGTATGTGTATTATTTGCACTAGTGTTGTTGCTGCTAGTCGTACAATTCGCATTATGATGTGTATTCGTCTGCTTATCATGTTCATTACTCTTATGCTTCTTCTTAGTAATATATGCTTTATTAGATTTACCTGTCGTATGACTTTTCTTACTATTATGATGACTATTCTGATTATGGGTATTACGATTATGATTGTTATTTTTATTATTCCACCTACTCCTCCTCCTCCTCGTCTTGCTCCTCCTCTTGCTCCCATCAATCCAACTTGTCCTCCCTGTCCTCCTTATGCCACTCCTCCGCCTCCCTCTCCGCCGCAGCCGCCTCCGCCGCCGCCGCGCCTAGCTGGCGGCCGCGCGCGGCCGCTTCGCTTGGTGGGAGGGGTTGCTGCGGCATGCTGCTGCGGGAAATGGGAGGAGAGCAGGGGAGGCCCTCCGTGGAACGAGCCCTGGGTCCAGTGCGGAGTGGAGCTCCTCCGGGGGCCCCGGAGAAACGACACCCTGGGGACCGTCTGCCACGAGCCCGCGAGGCCGTCGTGGAAGGAGCCCCCCGGCCTTCCTTGTGACACGGGCTCTGGGGCCTCGACGGGAACGATGGCAGGCCCCGAGCCGATGCACCGACACACACACACACACACACACACACACACACACAGATAAGTCGATCAATTGGATTGGCGCTCCCCGGGACGAAACGGCCCCCGGCCATCTGCGGGGGCGGACCTGGGGCAAACGGCCGAGCAGACTCTTTCGGAGCACGCCTAAGCAATCCAGGGGTCCTGTGGACTGGGCTCGGGGACCTGCGCTCACTGGCCGGTGTGTAGTCCCCCGTGCCTGAACCAATATACCGATCCACCTGGCACAGTCCGCCCGAGCCAGTCGACCAAAATACATCGATACAGTGGAACGGCGCCACCAAGCAAATACGCCGATACGCCGATATCAGCATATTCGTTCGGGGATTGATATATCGGACGGGCTCGTACGAACCGGCCCAACGGTTCTGTGCATCTAGGACGGGAACGATATCATGATAGGATTGGCTCAGGATACGGTCCAAGTTTTCTAAGAATTTCTAGCGGCCCTCGTCTCTGTGGCCCGCGTGGAAAGTTTGGGAATCTTGGGAATCCGGGCAATCTTGGTACGCATCATCATCGTGAACTCTTGCTTGGCTGAACGTCTGCCCAGGCCCAAAAGCATCGCCACGGTGCGGAAGGCGCGCTTCGCTCGAAGCACCACATCCGCGAAGGGCGCGCTGGGCCCCGCGCAGGTCCAGGATGTCGGAGGAGTGCGATTTGTAGACCTCGTGCGGGCTCAAACTCCCCCCCCATCCCCACCTCCTCCTCGCCCCCCACTCTCGTCGGATGGCACGGACTCGTAGATTTCGCCGAGGATGCCGACTCCCGTTCTGGCCAAGGTAGGGGCACAGCGATGGAGAGAGAGACAGAGGAGAGAAAAGGGGAGAGAGAGAGAGAGAGAGAGAACGAGAGAATGAGAGAAGTGAGAGGGAGAGAGCACAACAAGCATAAAAACAAACAGGGAGAGGAAAAGGGCGAGGGAGAGGAAAAGGAAGAGGAAGAGAGAAGGAGAGATAAAGAAAACAACAAACAAGTGTACCGCTTCCCCCGGGCCAGTAGAATCCGTATTCTCCACGAGGCGGAAACCTTTCCTCCGCTTACCAGCCTGGAACATATCCCTATCCCTATGCTGGGCACCTCCTCATCACGATGCCAATCTTAGGGATTCCCTTTTTTTTTGAGGGCGAATCCCTAAGATTGTCATCGCCTTTTGGCGTGTCAATCTTAGGGATAGGGATACGTTCGAGGCTGGTAATCCGCGATCGCAGGACGCCTTGGAGCCTCTCCCTCGAGGACCTCGCGCCAGCCTCCCGCGCTGGGCGGGGCGGAGGGGGCCCGGAGCTCCCCGCGGGACGGGCTCCGCCTGCCCCCCGGGAGAGCTCCAAGGCCGCCTCGATGTGCGACAGAACGGCCGCAGTTGAAGGAGCCCAAGGACACACAAACAAATACACACAAACAACAGGATTCCCCACATTTTCCTATCTTTTCTGGGTTTTTGTCTCCCCCCCCACTTCCCATTATTTTCCATATTTTCCTGGGGATGGACGATTAATTGTGTCTGTGTGTGTTTTTTTCCCTCCTGAGCAGTGCCGGCCCAAAACGGCTCAGCGACTGCCCAAGAAGGCCCATCGGGATCACGAAGCTCTCGTGAGGCTCTCGTCACAAGGCTCCAGCGAGGTCCTGGAGAATCAAGAGTGAAGTAAACAACATATCCCGATGTGGTTTGTTTGTGACGCCTTTCGGCTCAACATGGTTTCGGGAAGACTTCCATGGGGCCCACGAAGCTCCCAAAACGCCACAGGACGGCCCCAAAAGGACCTCAAGATGGCCCCAAGATGATCCAAGAGACTCCAAAGGCGGCACTAGATGGCACGAGACTGCCCCTGAAGGTTCCAAGACGGCGCACGTAACCCCCAAGCCGGCACCGAGATGGTCCAAGCAAGCACCGTCGGGAGAACTCGGGAGAAGCATCGCGTCTAAGATGACCCTAAGACCCCGTATAGACCTCCAACAAGCCCCCAACAAGGTTCCAAGAAGTCCGTAAGCCTGCATGTTGCCGATAGCAGAGGATCTCCGCCACCACCAAACATCCATTGTCCCATGTAAGGACCAACTTTGGGCGGCTATGCTCTCCTCGCCTACCAGGGAGCAGTCAGGACACAGGCCGAACCTGGGCCAGTGGAAGCGTCGCGTCCCTCCTCCTTCACAACCTGCCCCCTGGAGCTGCCGAAGCTGCCGCGGGGCAAGCCGGGGCGCGCGTGGGCCAGGACTCCCGGGCGGACCCACCCACAGCGACGAGGGCCCTCCAGAAGAGCCCCCCCGAAAACAACAAGTTCAAATCCCTGCAACACGCGTCGTGGGCGAAGTACACAACCAGATTCACGGTCTCGTTGTCTGGACTCCACGACCCCATGGCCCATGTACGCAGGGCGGTTTTACGCGGCTGCCCCGCGCGGAACGCGTCACTGGGATTATGTGGCACTGAGATCGCGCATCGGCGGCCAACCTGCGAGGGCACGGATACGGACACGTTCGCTAAACAATCCGCTCGTGTCGGCACATGGACCCCCAACAAGCTTCTCATCCTGGGCCAATGACAGTCTGACGGCCGTGGGGCCCGAAAGCGGCCTCCACACGTAGGCATAGCCTCGATCGTCGGCATGGATAAGTCGATGTGTCGCAAACCCCGACCGCGGGAGAGGGCTGTGCGCCCCACATAGGCGCCGAAGAATTCAATGTTTCGTACGAGATCCCGTCCGTTAGCAAAGCGGGCGTTGCGTCGACGCGTCGCGTCCACAGGAACGGTTTCACGCTCGCGACAGAGATGAGGCTGGAACAAGAGCGCACCGTCCGTAAGCATCTTCGGCGCGAAACCGAGCCGAGGAAACGACCTCTTGTTTTACCCCTCGGCACCGAGGATGCCACTGGGCCGACCCCAACGCCACCACCGAAGCCAGCGGCGCGCGGCGGGCCGGAGCATCGCGAGCGCCCCCCGCGGGCGGCGGCGCCAAGGCCGGGTGGACCGAGAAGGGGGGGGGCGGGACGGAGGGGGTGCAATTGGGCACACCGTGGCCCAGGGCATGCGCGCGGACACGAGGAGGCTGGGGAACGTGCCAACAGAGGAAGGGGGGGGGGCCATGGACTCTGAGAGAAGTCGTGGCCCCAGCCGTGATACGGGCGGACTCGATTAGACAGGACACTTTTTGTCGCAACCGCAGGCGGGGGCGCCAGCGGCGAGTCAGGTCCGAGCGGGCCGCGCAAGAGCCGAATTGCCTAACGCCATTGGACAGGACACGCGAAAGGACACAAGACCCTTCCGAGGGCCACACCGCCACAGGAGTGCAGGAAGCATGGGTCGCGAGACACAGGACACAAGGGTACCCTTGACTTGGCAGGGTCGACCTACTAATCGGGGCCGACTGTACCCACACCCCCGTCGGGTCATACCTCAAGTCTCCAGCAGCCGTTCGTGACGGCTCGGACGCCCCGGAGCGCCCTCGACGAGGCGCAGCTGCTGAAACGCACCCTGAGGCTGGAAGACCGTCCAAAACGGTGGAAAAGCTGCAAAAAGCCGACGATCCTCGATCCTCAGTCCTTACCCCATCCTTGGACGCCCCCGTTGAGAGAGGCGCCGCGCGGGGAGACCGTCGCGGCCGGGGCGCCCATTGGGTCCTCCTCGCTGTCGGCCTCCTCCTGGTGGTTGGCCTCCGCGGCGGCGGGGTTCCCTCCTCCTCCTCCTCCTCCTCCTCCTCCTCCTCCTTCTCCTCCTGAAACTTCTCCTGCTCCTCCTCCTCATCATCTTCCTCCTCCTCCTCCTCTTCTTCCTCCTCTTCCTCCTCCTGCTACTCCTCTTTCTCCTCATCCATCCCTTGTCTTATCGCCGCTCACATTCGTCTGATAAGCTTGCAACAGTTACAAAGATGAAGGCGGGGCTTTCAAAGTTGGGCCCCGCCTCAGCGCCGCTGAAAAGCTTGCAACCGCCAAAAGGATGGAGGGTGGCTCCTTTTCAAAATGCGGTTCCCGTCTGAGCGTCGCGCACATTCGTCTGAAAAGCTTGCAACAGCTACTGGGATGGAGGACGATTATTTATCCTTATTTTTCCAAATGGGGCTATCGCTTGAAACCTCCCAGATGCAGCAGCTGCAGCAGCTGCAGCAGCTCAACAGATGCAGCAGCTGCAGCACCTCCCCAAGCAACCTCAACAAATGCAGCAGCTGCACTAATGGAGGGCGGATCATTTTCTATCTCGCTTGAGACTCCCGCAGGTGTCATACAGTTACACGGATGGTGGCGGTCTTTTTTCAAAACGGGGACCTCCCTCGCTGGACACCTCGTTGAACAGTATCGCATGGGAGTACCTTGTCGCAGTCCCGAGTGCGCGCGTCAAGGATGCAAGGCCGCTCCTTCTCAAAGCGGGGCTCCCGTCTAACGTCGGCCCATGGCGCGCTGGTCATTCCATGGGGGCGCTCCCCTTGTGGAGAGAAAGACTTGGGGCAGGCTTAAGACGGAAGGGTGGGTTGCAGCATCCCTGGTGCATCTTAGGATTAGTCTGGTCATCAGCTTCCTCCTCCTCACCCTCCTCCGCCTCCTCTCCTTCTCCTCCTCCTTCTCCTCCTCCTCCTCCTCCGCCTTCTCTTCTCCTCCTCCTCCGCCTCCTCCTCCTCCTCACTCTCCTCCGCCTCCTCACCCTCCTCCTCCTCCGCCTCCGCCTCCTCCTCCACCTCCTCCTCGCCCTCGTCCACGGTGGCGGGGGCGGCTCCTCAGCCTCCTCCTCCCCCTCCCCCTCCCCCTCCTCCTCCTCCTCCTCCTCCTCCCTCCTCCTCCCTCCTCCTCCTCCTCGCCCACGGTGTCGGGGGCTCAGCCATCCTCATCGTCTTCAGCAACATAGTCGGCAAACATTACATCCCCATCATACCCGTCACACCAGGCTGCCACTGTCAATGAGGGCGTCGTTCACAGTGGTGCAATGGCAGGAGCGCCCGCAACTGGCGGCCACTGAAAGAAGTGTGCACCCGCAAGCTGGCGGTGCAGAGTGTGACAGTAGCAAAAGGCAAAAAGCTTTTGGGACACATTTGTGCGTGGGGGCAGTACCGAAGGCTCGCGCATCCGAATACCACAGCGACACGGCAACTCTGACAAGCATCCGTGAAGAAAACAGAGCGTACCTCTTCAAACATGCAGCCTGGAAGCATGGAGGAGATGACACCCAGGAAGAAGTAACGGAATACGTGTTACAGCTGTTTACAAGAGTCAACTGTGAGGGGGTGCAGAAGGATGAAATGACAGCAAAAACGTCCACGAGCCCAAATGGAACTGTGTCGCGATTCACTCGCCCTTCCTTGGCTCCACCTCCTCATCCTCCTCCTCTTCATTCTCCTCCTCCTGTCGCTGTCGCTGTCGGCATCAGTTTCCGTGGTTGACGCTGCCATCCCCCCCCATGTCTCCTCATTCTGCCTTAGAGCTAGAAAGATGAAGTGGCTGCATACTATACGTTGGTTTAAAAAACTACATTCATAATTCGCTGAGCAATTAATGCTGCAGGTGCTACAATAAATAATTATTAACGGCGGGCATGATGTAGCTGCGACAAAGCTAGCGTGCGACGGCCCGGAGAGGTTATGAATTCAAAGGGGTTGCCCGAAAAGGGCCAGGCCGAAAAAAAGTTAGGAAAGGAATATGATGCGGAATTTCCAGCGTCGGAAAGAAGTTTCGAATACCAGGGGTAATTCTTCATCTCAGAGACAATCGAATCAGACTTGCCCGAGAAGCGGCAGGGCCAGGAAGGATAAAAGGAGTTAGAAAGGATTGTGATAAGGAATTTCCAGGATGAAAAAGGAATTTCGAATACGAGGGGTAATTCTGCATCTCAGAGACAATCGAATCAGAATTGCCTGAGAAGCGCCAGGGCCAGGAACGAAAACGGAGTTCGAAAGGTTGTGATAAGGAATTTCCAGAGTTAGTTAGGAATCTCGAATACAAGTGGTAATTCTGCATCTCAGAGACAATCGAATCAGAATTGCCCGAGCAGCGCCAGGGCCAGGAAGGAGAAAAGGAGTTAGAAAGAAATGTGATAAGGAATTTCCAGAGTTAGAAAGGAACTTCGAATACCAGCGGGAATTCGGCATCTCAGAGACAATCGAATCATAATTGCCCGAGAAGCACCAGGGCCAGGAAGGAAAAAGGAGTCAGAAAGGAATGTGATAAGGAATCTCCAGAGTTAGAAAGGAATTTCGAATACCAGGGGTAATTCTGCATTCCTCTGGAATTCGAAATTCCTTTCTGACTCTGGAGATTCCTTATCACATTCCTTTCTGACTCCTTTTTCCTTCCTGGCCATGGCGCTTCTAATTCTGATGCGATTGTCTCTGAGATGCAGAATGACCCCTGGCATTCGAAATTCCATTCTAACTCTGGAAATTCCTTATCACATTCCTTTCTAGCTCCTTTTTTCTTTCCTGGCCCTGGCGATTGTCTCTGAGATGCAGAATTACGCCTGGTATTCGAAATTCCTGCTTAAATCTGAAAATTCCGTATCATATTCCTGTCTAACTCCTTTTTCCTTCCTGGCCCTGGCGCTTCTCGGGCAAGTCTGATTCGATTGTCTCTGAGATGCAGAATTACCCCTGGTATTCGAAATTCCTTTCTAACTCTGGAAACTCCGCATCCTTTTCCTTTCGAACTCCGTTTTCCTTCCTGGCCCTGGCGCTTCTCAGGCAATTCTGATTCGATTGTCGCTGAGATGCAGAATGACTCCTGGTTTTCGACGTTCCTCCCTAACTCTGGAAATTCATTATCAAAGGCCTTTCTAACTCCTTTTCTCCTTCCTGGCCCTGCCGCTTCTCGGGCAATTATGATTCGATTGTCTCTGAGATGAAGAATTACCCCTGGTATTCGAAAATCCGTTCAAACTCTGAAAATTCCTTATCACATTCCTTTCTGGCTCCTTTTTCCTTCCTGGCCCTGGCGATTGTCTCTGAGATGCAGAATTACCCCTGGTATTCGAAATTCCGTTCTAAATCTGGACATTCCGTATCACATTCCTTTCAAACTCCTTTCTCCTTCCTGGCCCTGGCGCTTCTCGGGCAATTCTGATTCGATTGTCTCCGAGATGCAGAATTGCCCCTGGTATTCGAAAATCCTTTCTAACTCTGAAAATTCCTTATCACATTTCTTTCTAGCTCCTTTTTTCCTTCCTGGCCCTGGCGATTCCCAGGCACGTCTGATTCGATTGTCTCTGAGATGCAGAATTACCCCTGGTATTCGAAATTCCTTTCTAACTCTGGAAATTCCGCATCATTTTCCTTTCGAACTCCGTTTTCCTTCCTGGCCCTGGCGCTTCTCAGGCAATTCTGATTCGATTGTCGCTGAGATGCAGAATGACTCCTGGTTTTCGACGTTCCTCTCTAACTCTGGAAATTCATTATCAAGGGCCTTTCTAACTCCTTTTCTCCTTCCTGGCCCTGCCGCTTCTCGGGCAATCATGATTCGATTGTCTCTGAGATGAAGAATTACCCCTGGAATTCGAAATTCCTTTCCAACTCTGGAAATTCCGCATCGAATTCCTTTCTAACTCATTTTGTTATTCCTGGCCCTAGCACTCATCGGACAAATCCGTTTCGACTGTTAGCGTAGATTCAGAATTCTCACAGGCAGTAGGATTTCCTTTCTAACTCGAGAAACTCATGTTTTCGAATTCCTTTCCAACTCTGTAGAAATGCAGAATCAAAAAAACTCTTATCAACATTATGAGCCTGCAGTATTAATTCCCGTCATAATTATTGCTGTACTTGTATACAGCGCGCGGTACAGGAAATGCTTCCTAAACCAATTAACGCTGCACTGTAACCCCAAAAAACTATAGTACAGGTTGTATCCCCCCAGGCTCTGTGAGAATAAGATCCATGAGACAACGAACTGAATGGGTGAAAGCGAGCGGGCTTCTCCTCCTGCTGACTTTCCTCATCTTCCAGCCATCGTCCTCTCCGACCTCCACCCTTCTCCCTTCTGCTCCTCCTCCTCCTCCTCCTCCTGCTCCTCCGCCTCCTCCGCGGCCTCCTCCGCCTCCTCCTCCTCCGCCTCCTCCACCTCTTCCTCCTCGAGGACGGCAAAGCTTCTCAAGGATCCCAATGCTCACGCCCCTCCCCCATCGACCTGCCTGCACCAATGCAGTCAGCTTCTGCTTGCTGGCGCTGGAGAAGGACGCCGCCTCCATGATGGCCGAGAGCCCCTGCCCCGGCACTCGCGCCAAGCAACGCTGGGTACCGGGAAATCATAGATCATCCATCCACTTTTCTGAGCATGCCGACTCAGGGGGGTCCTGTGAGCGGAGCAAAGTGAGAAGGGGGGGAGGAGGAGGGAGGGGGAAAGAAGCAGGAGCAGGAGCACAAGGAGGAAAGGGACCAGGAGAAGCGATCTAAGTGGAGCCCCCGAGAAAGCGTAGTAAGTAGACATGTCAATCAACTCCACGTCCCCAACCCCCCACTGCTCCTGCCCCTTCCACGCGGAGAAGACGGCGTTTAAAGCTGCATCTGCCAACGTATTTGCAAGAGAGAGAACGGGGTGCGAGAACGCCTGTTTCGCCCCGCGAGGCCTCCATGTAGCCCTCCCAAGAGCGTCCCCTCCCCCAACCCCCCCCTCGAAGCACGCGCCAACTGTCGAGTTGCCTGCCCCCCCACAAAAGGCTTGCCCTCCTGCGACCTGGTCGGCCCGTGGGCGGCTCCAAGGCGGTCCGGGACCGCAGAAGGTGCCCGCGCTGCCTCTCCTCGATCCGCACCCGCGCCGCCAGGGCCGAAAGCGCGGGAGCGGCCCGGGGGAGCGGCCCGCGGGAGCGCCCGCGACCGCGGAGGCTTGCGTGTGGCGGGGGGGGTCTCACGAGCGCCGCACCCCCTCAAGGGCTTATCATCATCATCATCATCATCATCATCATCATCATCATCATCATCATCATCATCATCATCATCATCATCATCATCATCATCATCATCATCATCATCATCCTCATCCTCATCCTCATCCTCATCCTCATCCTCATCATCATCATCATCATCATCATCATCATCATCATCATCATCATCGTCGGCATCATCATCATCATCAGCATCATCAGCAGCAGCATCAATATCAGCATCAGCATCAGCATAATCATGATCACCATCATCATCATCATCATCATCATCAGCAGCAGCAGCAGCATCAGCATCATCATCATCATTACCAGCATCAGCATCAGCATCAGCATCATCATCATCATCATCATCATCATCAGTATCAGCATCATCACAAGTATCAGAAATTTCTTCATCAGCAGCAGCACTATCGTCCTCGTCCTCATCAGCATCATCATCATCATTATCATTATCATCAGCATCATCTCCATCATCATCAGCAGCAGCATCATCACCATCACCATCATTATCATCGTCGTCATCACCATCGTCATCATCCTCATCATCCTCCTCGTCATCATCAGCATCAGCATCATCACCATAATATCCATCATCATCAGCAGCAATATGTCATCATCATCTCCACCACCATCCTCGTCATCATCGTGATCATCGTCATCACAACTATCATCATGAGCAGCAGCATCATCATCAGCATTATCATCATCAGCATCATCAGCATCATCAGCATCATCAGCATCAGCAGTATCAGCAGCATCAGCATCGTCATCACCAACAGTATCATCATCAGGATCTTCATCACCACCGTCCTCATATCCATCCCCATCTCCATCCAAATCCTCATCCTCACCCTCGCCGTCGTCATCATGAGGATCATCATCGCAACCATCATCGTCATCATCATCAGCATCAGCATCAGCATCGTCATCTTATCCCTCCTCCTCCTCGTCATCATAAGCATCATCAGCAGCATTAACATTATAATCATCATCATCATCATCAGCATCACCATCACCATCATAATCATCATCATCAGCAGCACCATCATCATCACCATGATCAGCGTCAGCATCATCATCCTCGGCATCATCACCATCATCATCAGCAGCATCATCATCTGAACCATCGTCATCCTCATCATCATCATCAGCATCATAAGAATTATCAACAGAAGCATCATTATCAGCACCATCATCATCATCATCATCATCATCATCATCATCATCATCATCATCATCATCATCATCATCATCATCATCATTCTCGTCATCATCAGCATCAATATCATCACCATCATCAGCAGCAGCATCATCACCAGCATTGTCATCATCACCACCATCCTCATCTCCATCCCCATCCCCATCCCAATCCTCATCCGCATCCTCGTCGTCGTCAGCATCATCATCAGCAGCATCATCACCATCACCAAAACCACCATCATCAGCAGCATCATCATTATCACCACCGTCATCAGCAGCAACAGCAGCATCATCGTCATCAGCATTGTCATTATCGTCAGCATCATCATCATCATCACCACCACCATCGTCATCATCATCATCAGCAGCAGCAGCAGGTCCATGCCCTCGCGGGATGGACACCGAGGCGCGATCCCACGCGACCCCACGGAGACGCGAGCCCATACCAGAAGCTCCGCGCGGGGCGCACCCGCGCAGGGCCGCCACCCACGGGGTCCCGGCCGAGGAGCCTGGGCCGCGAGGCCGAGGAGCCCGGACCGGGGAGAACAGGAGGGAGGGAGGGAGGAGCTCCTGCTCCTCCTCCTCCTCCTTCTCCTCTTCCTCCTCCTCCTCCTCCTCCTCCTCCTCCTCCTCCTCCTCCTCCTCCTCCTCCTCCTGCAGGGGGGGTGAAAGGAGGAGCTTCCCAGATCTATCGTCGGTGGGCGGAACGCCCGTCTCCTCGGTCTGGGACGCTGCCCTCGACCTGGCGCTGGCGGCGGCGCAGGTGGTTGAGCTGTTCCACCCGTCACAGCCCTTTTCCAACGCGACCAGCTCAGACGGTAACATGACGGGGGTGGAAGGGGGATCATCTTGGATCATCAAGAAAGAAGGATGGGGAGGGACGAAGACGACGATGATGGGAAAGAAGCCGTGCGCTGACAAATCTGGCGGGTCGAGCGACTGACACGTGCGAGCCAGGGAGGCCCGTGCGCAAGAGCACCCGACCCCCGCCCCCGAGTCGTTGAGGACCCTTGTAGGCAACCGCACGCAATACCTGCCCGTGCAGGTCAGGTTCCCGAAACACCTGCGGGGGGTCGGAATTTGAAGGGTATCTGCAGCCAACGCGGGGGCCCGCGGGGGGAATGGCTCGCACGGGCCCGCGACCTGCAAAGCACGGTCGACTGCATGCGGCCGATCCGATAAGACAGCAGAGAGAGCAGCTCGCCGAGCGACCAGGAAAGAGTCGCGCGCGTGCAGAATCGTTTCGCTGCTCCTCACAGCCGCGCCGCGGTCCTTCATCAGACTCTTGAAGCTCGAGGTGTCGACCTGCATCCGAGGCGCGGGCCGCTCCTCCCACGGCCTCCTTCCCCGGTCGGTCGCCCTCACTGCTCCTCCCCTCGTATGTCAAGGCCGCCCACGGAGACAACACAACCAAAGACCGACCGACCCGACAGCGAAACTGGCACCGACCGAAGTCGATAGGACGCAAGCAACCCAGAATGGTGCAAGGACGCGGCAACGACACAACAACCGACCGAACCGAACGGACCGAACGCAGCCGACTGCGACGCCGCCGAACCGACCGAACTGCGAACACCCCTGCATAGCCCACCCAGACTGAGCACCGGTGTCTGCAGGCGACACGTCGCCGCAAGATGCGCGCGCTGAGGCACACAGCGCTAAGGCAGCGTTTGCAGTTGACCGGGCCACCTACTCTGGATGGGGCAATAATCGCCCCCCCCTTGGATCCGCTGGGGGGGGTGGGCACGTGCTGTCGGCACGGGTGCAGGGGAGGCTGGAGGAGGAGGAGGAGGAGGAGGAGGAGGAGGAGGAGGAGGAAGAGGAGGGGGAAGGAGGAGAAAGAGGAGGGGACGAGGAGGAGGAGGAGAAAGTGGAGGGGGGCGTATGGGCAAGCTCGGTCGGAAGGCTAGTCGCCCACCCCATCCGTCGATATCTCACCCCAAGCAGTCGCCGAGGCACCCCGCGCGCTCGGGGGAGGCAGGGTGGGAGGGAGGGCCCTGGACGACCAGAGGCGGCACGCGGGCCCCATGGCATGTGGGCCCCCTGGTGATCGCTGCCCTCCTCTGCCTGCTCTCCGCCGGCTCCCCGTCCGCCCTGCCCTCCATCCTACCCTGGAGGGGCTCCGCGCGTCGCCGTGGGGTGCCAGCAGCTCTGGGGAGGCGCACGACGAGGGAGGGAGGACGATGGGGAGGGCGGAGAGGAGGAGGAGGAGGAGGAGGAGGAGGAAGGAGGGGAGAGGAGGCGGAGGAGGAGAATTAGGAGGAGGGAGGAGGAGGAGGAGGAGAGGAGGAGAGAGGCATAAGGATGAGAGCAGCAGCAGCAGCAGCAGCAGCAGCAGCAGCAGCAGCAGCAGCAGCAGCGGGGGCGGACCAAGGGTGTCCACGCGTGTCTCGCCTCGTGTTGCTCCATCCCAGAAACAATTTCGAGCACCCGGAAGAGTGTCGAAACAGTGTCGAAACAGTGTCGGACGAGCGTCTCCCAGGGCCCGACACGTAAAAACCCTCGAGTTTCGGTTTTGTGTGTGTGTGCTCGATGTTTTTCTGGTGATCTGGGCTAAAGTAGGTTGAACATCATAAGACAAGGTGCCCATACTGTGGGTGGACTAAAAGTGTCCACGCGTCTCGCCAACACCTTGAGGTACTATCAAAGTACATCGGACCAACATGTGTACCCCCATTCCTCTAAATTCAAAGTTCGCGGGCTCAGGCGGTAGGCCGAAGGCCATGGACAACATATGGACACTTCAACGTTGGGCTTGTGGGGGAGGGGTGCGAAGCAAGGGCATTTCGCAGTTGTGGTTGTTGTCATGTTGCATCGCCTTCCCGCCATGGGTGTGGACACTTGCTGTCCAGGGACCGTACCGCCCGAGATTGCAAGAGCTCGGAGGAGAATCATCGAGAACATGACAACCCCGAACCCTAACAACAAGAGGAAGACGTGGCCTCACTGAGGTCCCCGTCTCTGCATCAGGGATGGTACATGTGTACGGTTTGAAACTATACATCTGCAGAGAAGACCGCCTATCCCTAATGTCGTTGGCCCTCCTAATCTAGGTCCCCTCCCAAAGGGTTAAGGGGTTCCTTGTTTGGTACCCGTACCCGTACCTCTACCTTTTCCTCGTCTTCCCCCTTTTCGGGCCTCACGGGAGGCCCCCTCGTCGCCACCGCTGGATTCGCCTCGACATCCTGGTCAGAACGCACCCCGGGAGAGGTCCCGGGGAGCAGCGGTATCAGTACCCCCTGGCTCCCCACAGACGGGGGTCCGCAAATCGGGCGCGCCGAAGATGGACAAGAGCGTTCCACGACTCGCAAAGTAACTACTCGCAAACGACCCGGATCTGCCGCAGGGGTTTAGACAAGCGCGCTCCACTACTCGCAGAGTAGCTACTCGCAAATGGCCTGGATCCCGCGCGGAGGATCTACGATAAATAACATCAAAGCGGACTGGACGTTTGCGAGTAGGCACTTTGCGAGTAGTGGAACGCGATCGGTGAGGGTTGTACGATCCAGTACGCAGAGGAAGACATGTGCTTTTTCGTACGTGTGCGAGTCGGCATTTTG